AATCAGAGGCCACATCTGGGTGGACATGGGTCTATAAATCTTCATGACACCGCCGGGGAGAAGCTCCCGATGGAATATGGACCAGTGAGCTGGCGGTCGTGTCAAAGGGTTTCCATGACAAACAGTTAAAGGAGAAAAGTCAAAGGAAAAAACCAAATAGCGAGCAGACAACGGTAAGAGGTTGAACGGGATGAAACTCAAATGCAAAAAGGCAAACAGATAATAGTCGGATGATAGACACAAAATGATGGAGTCACACAGGCAAAACACAAGGATGATAAAGTGGATAAAGATGGACATATGGGTAAAACTCGGAGCAGAAAATGACAAAAAATCGGAGAGTTGCTATCGTGTCTATTTTTAAGGACGGATTAATTAGAGGAACACTGCCAGAATTCCAATGATCCAACCAGCTATTCGGGTCCCCTAAAATGCTGTCAGAGCTACAATGATCTTTTGTTAAGACCTTTGTATTTTTCGTCTGACAGGTTAGCACTGACTGGATGAGCCAGAAGGGACTGAGACCAATCCAGGCTTACGAGCGCATTTTATGTGTTAGTATGTGCTTTCTGGTCTTTCTGCTCAGATGGAATCGTGGAGGCTTGCAGTCACCTGTGTTTTGAACTGCTTATAGAAATATTGGGTTGGGAAGGAGCAAGTATAAGTATGGTATATTATAGCAAGTATAGTATAGCAAGTATAGTATAGCAAGTATAGCAAGTATAAGTATAAGTGTAGCAAGCAAGTATAAGTAAGGAAGGACGCGCTGGCAGGCTTATTGTGTCGCAAAGAAAATATCATTTCAGTCAATCTGAGGTTTTTGTGGCGTAGCAGTAATTGTTCATACCTGTAGACGTTCCACAAGCCAGCCTTGGAGGAAAAGTTATCCTGTGAGCACCAAACGTAGATGTTCGAGGCATAGATAGGTACAAGATGACATGTTACATGTTACATGCAGGCAAATGAAAGGGTTCGGTGAATTTTTGTAACGTGTTCGTGTTCCACTCTACAAGGTGTGGCACATCTTTGTAAGATCTGATTGTAGCAGAGTTGTAACAAACAGCTCACGTGTGGAACATTATTCTGAAATGGTTAATGTGTATCATTCCGTATGTGTCATCAATTCTAGCAATGCCGCCACTTTCCCTGCTCAGTCTCCCATTTTTTCTTTGAAAAGCTATGACTCTGAGACACACTTGCTGAACCAAGAGAATCAAGGCTGACAAGAGTTTCAGGTACAATTATGGCTCTTGCTGCTTATTTTGACATCACTCACATCTCTTTTTGGTGGGCCATGGTCTCTCAATGTTGAGCTCTTCCCCCTTCCCAATGTTGGGGTGTCCCCCCCAGACTGGGCTGGGCCCCAATTTTCAACTGGGCCAAAGCTGCATTTTGCCTGCCTTTCATTTTTTTGGAACCTGGCTCCCGATATCCTTTCAGCTCTTTAACATGCGCCCGGGTGGCCGGTTGGATACCCTTCGCTCGGGTGGAGGGTCAGTTCCACCCCCCGCCCCCCTGAGATCTCAGGAACAAGGAAGCTAGAGGCATCAAACTCACAGGCGCACTGGTCTGTACCTGAACGTATTTAGGTTAAAGTTCGAGGTTCCTAGGTCATGAACTTCAGGCCAAATAAGGTCAACCCAGGTCAAACACCAGCAGGGTCCTCAAAGTAATCCATAACCGAGATACATGCGCTCAGAAAAAATCACATACCCTTTAAGATCAGTGGCCTTGTTTGTCCTTTTGAAGGTGGTGACGACCAAAATCGTACAAGACTGCTTTGAGTTTTGCTTTTGAACAAGCGACAAAGATTACGTTAGGCGGTATGTTGATTAAAACAAGATATTTACCTGGGTCATTTGAGATCAGTGATCCTATTTTCACCTCAAGATGTTCATGGAAGATGCATAATGCGTTTTCCATTCTTAACAAATTCTAAATGAGTATCAGAAACTACCCCACACAACAAAAACCCGGGTAATGAAACAGTCCGGCTTTGACGTTGGTCTAGCCTTCATACCTGACCCTAGGTCAACGGAATTTGTTCATTCCAGTGTTGCGCTGCCTAAGAAAGAATCTCACAGATGTGTGGCTCCGTCGACACTCCGTTCTTGTGTCAGACTGAATGATTCCCTAGACATCGACTTCGCTGAATCCATGGCCTGGCTTTGACCTGCTGTAAGTCAGCGGACCTTACAAGGTATATATAAATTCTGGATACCACACGACCCTTTATTCAGTTACCCATAGCTATGCAGAATTTGGCGCGTTTTTTTCAGAATTTGGCAGAAAAAAGCGCGGCGTAGCCGCGCCTTCGGAAACCCTCCCGGAAAAACCTTTGGGGGGTTCAGATTGACCCCCATCCGATCGCGTGTAAAAGTAAATATAATATAGGATTTTATAGAGCCCACAATTTGATATTATAGAAAGAAAACATTTATATTGCACAGAACTCAAGAACTTACGTAAGACGAAACCCGCAAAAAGGGGTATTTTGCTAGTCTCTTACCTCACAGTGAATGTTTATGCGTTATTGGAGCTTAATGACGTTTCTGAGACTATATTACAACCCCCTGCCTCTTATCCTGGCAGAAAGGGTTAGCACAGCGGAGAATTAAACCCCACAGTGAATGGTCAGACGCAGAAACAATAACTGGCAAACATTGTCCGACTCGTGATGTCATTCAGGTTACGCGTCATAATGCAAATATTGAAATGCTGATATTGGCAGCAGAAAGAGGCGAAGTAATCAAAATTTGTACTTTTAACACCAAATTGTCCTTGAAGTAAAGCATGCGACCGTCTCCCTGGAATATGAGTGGCCTGTTCTGTGTCGTTAAGATGAAAATATCCAAATACTGTGCTGCGCCTTTTAAGTGTCTTTAAGAAGCACATAAATGTCTTGCGTTCTTATTCAGGAATGTGACACTAGATATGCATAAACAATGTGCATTCTAGAGATTAAGAACAAGGATATTAGGTGCACTGCGCCCTCCCCCCCCCCCCCGCACATAAAATCGCCTTGCATTCAAAGCATAAGTTACATTTATAATATCGCAGGAGCCTGCGAAAGAAGCATATCTTGTTATGCCTATGCGCAATGCGCACGATGTAATATGTGCATATTTCGTGCACAGTTGCCCACGTATTTTCATATTGTTTTAGCATGTACAATATCACCAACTCATGAAGTGATGGCCTGCTATCGGTTGCTCGTGATGTAACTGCTAATTTCGTTCTGATAATCTATCTTGAAAACGCGTAGATGCATTGTCCTGGGCAGGAGCTGAAAGGCTCTCTCGTCCCAGCCCGGGGTAACTAGCAACTGCTGTTCTGGCGACACGAGGGCCAGGTGCCCTGGTCGATCCGGAGGCCTTCAGGGGGATGCAATATGCACCGGTCCCATCCCTGGTGCGACATGCCCTCTGACCTGGGCATCTGCCATAGGATCGGCGCGGGAGCACGTCACTGACGCAAAAGGATCCCTTACCGGTACAGGTAGTCCAACGCGTAATTGGCGCCGAAATACCAGTTCGGCCTATCGGCCCCTGTCTCCTAGTTGAAACGGTGGTGTGGAGGACCCCTCGTTTGGTTCGCGACCTCTGACTGGTGTAGATTACTGTCTCATTATGAGTGCAAATAGCAGCATCACCAATTCTCATGTCTCCTACCATTGGCAAGAGGGTCCTGGCCAACACAAGAGGCCTTTCGACATTCGAGATCCTGCTCCTGTCCACTTTCAACAAACGTGCCCATGGCCCACTGTGGGCTTGTCGCCGACATGGGACCCCTTGTTGGGCTCTGTAATCCCTATAATCAGCACAGGGGCGTACCAATGTGCGTTCTGTCGGTTAACGTACTGTCTGAGGTCCCTTCGTTCGGCCTGCCTTTCGGACCCTTCGATCGGGTACTTGATCGTCATTCCCTTGGGGTCCAAAAGGCTGCTCCTCGGGACATAAAGACTAGGACGCGTGTCTCTCTCCCACCGATGGTGGCGTCCTTGGTTTTGTCAGTGAAAATAAAGAAATAGGGCAATTTTGTACCCTGAGGTTTGACGCTATCTGAAATCAAAGTGCTCGAAGGCCCTCGTGGTGCCTCCTTAGAAGTGGTTGTCCCTTCAAAATATCGGTCAGTAGTGCCCGAAATGCAGGCTTCGGGTAGCTCTTCGAGGGTAACTTCGATGGTTGACAATGGGTACTGGATGGGAAACCGACTTAAAGTTTCGTAGTTTCGTCAGGGTAAAAGGCACAGAAGTTGTGTAGCTTCTGATTCTTGTACGTCTTGAAAATGAAGATGGCAGGGTCCTTGAAATGACCCGTTTGGATTTGGTACTTGCTAAAAATAAAGGTTTTGACACCCAAAAATAAAAGTTTTGGTGGCCCATCGCCGAATGTGCCGATCCCGGACTTTCTCCATTAAGAGAGAGGTACACTTTGGTGCCCCTGAACCTTGTTCCGGACACCAAAGTCGAAGGTTCAGTCTCCTCCCCCCCCCCCCCCCCCATCACGGATTGAGAAACTCTCAATCCGTGATGCTGCCGAATTACTCAGGTTTGCCAAGTGGGTGGTGATTCTTAGCGTTTTCGTGCACAGGATGCCTTTAAGTTTGAAGGTCACGCACGCTGATGCCGATACAAGCGCTATCTAAAACCAGAAAGTCCCTCAGCAAAACAACCGTCCTCATTCCAGGGTCTTGTTTTGCGCCTTGGACCCATGACGTAGAGATTTGGCTAACAAACATTCGTGATCAGCTGATCGAAGTTCATTGCTCTGCCCTCATACCAAAAACGTCTAGAATATGAGACTCAATGTGTTTCTTTGTGGCCGAATGTGAATTTGTGTTGTAGTTGAAAACGAATAAGATATCAGTGGAATTAATTTTGAACATTTATTTGAAGCTTCTTTTACATTTTGCCACGAATATTATAAAACAAACTAAACCGGACTAGTATACTTCTTTCATAGCCTTCTGCTATCTGCGTCAAAATTGTAAGAGTTGTGAACTGAGATTGGTCTCGCGTTTGTGGGATGAGTTTTAGACCATTTCTTTACCGTTTTCTGAAATATTTTGAGTAAACTATGGATTCTGATGGTGGCATACAGTATGATGAAGAATCAGGCGACGAGCACTCGCTTTATGAAGCTGATTCTGGCAATGAATCAAGTGAGGAAGAGGTAAACTTTGACAGTCGTCCTGAACCATCTACATCCAGGGACGAAGACAGTGCAGTGGACGATTATGTGTTTCAAGTACTGTCTGTCGAGGAAATAGTTGAATATATGGTGGCAGAGATAAATGAGGTGAAGGAAGTTGTGAAGGTGAGCCTCTTTCTTTAAATTTTCTACTGTAATCAATTCAGCGCCAGTGATGATGTGATGTCAAAAGTAAGCTATGTGAAAGTGTGCGATGAACACATTTCGCGAAAATTAAAAATATGTCGTTAACACATTTTTCTATGGTCACAAAAACCTAGTGTTACAGAAAATTGAACTGATTCACAATCTGAGTACTTTGAAACCAGAAACTGCAGTCAACAATTAGGAAAGGTCTTATTTAAGTATCTAGTTGGTCATGCCCACACCTCCTACCACTCAGATTTGTGTTGTACATGCATTGAAATTGTGGCTGTGATGTCACTTGCTACTCTTGGTACATTCAGAATAACATAATTTTTTGCAGTGTGGCGCCCATCCAGTAAAAGTAGTGTTATGTGTTTAATACCATTGTGTTGTGTATGTTGTGCCAGCATGTGATGTACAATGTGAATCGTTTTCATTTCAGCTTCCAAGAACTACAATAAGGATACTCCTAAACCACTTCAGATGGGACAAGGGAAAGCTTTTTGAGAGGTTCTATGATACAGACCAGGAACAGCTGTTCAGAGAAGCCCATGTAGTTAGTCCTTTCATCAAGAAGACTGCCTCAAATCCAAAGGTATGTGCTGCATAAGCACATGTCATGTGCTTTGTATTTGGCAGGGTGCACAACAGAATGTGGTAAACCAAATTATGCAAAGTTCTGAATTGGATGGTCTGACTTGGAATGGTTTAAGTAGTGTTTGCTTATGTGCACTTAGTTGGGTTAGGCGGAAGCATGGCCATGCATTGTTTGTGGTATTAATTGTTGCATGGGTACTGCATATGCTCATTCTGTTGGATGGCTTTGGAACCAGAGAATTGGTATGGACATAGATCGGTTTGCCACAAAGTTGAGTTATGTGGATGACACACTAGTATTAGTGTGAGCCCAAAGATAATATCATCCTGGATTGTTTAAATATTTTCTGTGACATAGTAAGGCATTTATGAACATTGTTTCCATTTGCTGCTCATTTCCAATTGATGTGCTGACCTGTTGTACTTTTTGCTTGGTACATCACACATGTACAATTTGATCAGTGTTACCAGTGTTCTCAAAATTCATCTGAATAGCTCAAAATGTTGATTTGAAGTAGTTGACCCTGCTGAAGAAAACTTACTCGACTCCCTTCTCACCACAATGAAAGCAATGCGTTTAATTTGTGTTGCTTTTTCCAATATGTTTCCTCTGTAATATTTGCAACACACCTGTTTGTCAACATGTTTGTTTAGAAAATGTCATGAAAAGTTGAAATGCTGTTTAGACAAATATACATTTGAACATAAAGCTATTATCCTGCAAATGCAACAAAGTATTTGGACAAAAAGTATGTGAACATGAAGCTATTATTCAGTGTGTTCAATGAAACATTAGGCATACATTAGCTTGGATTTCTCTCCAGTGGCATTAACCAAAGTAGGTCTTTTCCAGGCACACTTCGACTTCAGGAATGAGAGTGTCAAATGATAGATGTGACCCACTGGCTCAAATGTCAACCAACCAACTTCTCACTAGCAGCCCCTTGCCCCTTGGGCCAATCACAACATCATTTTATGTGCAACAGTAGAGATGCTCATGGTCAATGATCAAACCTCATATCCTCATTGGGTCTTGATGGTGCTGCAGTGGCACAGCACTACCCGGTGCTAGACGTAACTAATCGTGAGGTTTCACAGGAGTAAGTTTTTGAAATATTCCCTAATGTGGGACCTGCATTGCTGCTTGTATTGCTCACTCCATTAGCAAGCTTGATGACTGGAATAATAGTGGGTCAATGATGCTTATGTAATCTTCATGAAGGAATAACATGCTGTTCTCTGTGTGCCAGGTCAACAGCAGAAGGGGTGCAGTGACAACAGAGGAGTGTGAGATCTGCCTGATGGTCCAGCCCTCGTCGGTAAGTGTAGTGCCGAGTTCGCCTTGCAAACACTGTGTAAGTCATCTGCGGCGAGGTTTGAGCCGTCAGTCCAATGCGGCGGTTGTCGTGGCTTTATGTCTCCCCACTGCAATGCTGGTGACTCTGGAGTGCCGGTCTGTGCATACCTCGTGGCCGTCGCTAGCTCGAGTCTCGTTCGTGCCCGCCCGGCTGACGGCGCTGGCTGTGCCTGACAGGCCATGACCGGGCTGGAGTGCGGCCACCGGTTCTGCGCCGGCTGCTGGGCCGAGTACCTGACCACCAAGGTGATGGACGAGGGAATGGGCCAGACGATCTCGTGCGCGGCGCACGGCTGCGACATCCTGGTGGACGATCGGACTGTGCTGCGGCTGGTCGGCGAGCCGCGTGTGCTGCAGCGCTACCAGCACCTCATCACCAACAGCTTCGTGGAGGTACGCCGTCGCTCGGCACCGCACGGCACGCGAACGGCTCTGCCGCGGCGCGGCCCGGCCGGCGCGTCCGCGTCCGTGCAGTCCGTCTCAAAAGGGAGAAAGGATACTGCGTTGCGTTTAGCCGGTCGCTGCAATCCGACGCGTGTGGGATTGTGGCGATGACGATGGTGGCAGCTATTGTGCTTCGTGAATGTTTCCGCGGAGTGACCTCTTGTGCTATATTACATCATTTGGTACTCCCTTGGAGAAGCATTTAACTTGCTTCCAGGCAGAGATGATCAGCCCTTAACATGTTTATTATGTCGTCCTCGGCTCAAAACTCAAATTTTGATCAGTATAGATTGCTAGTGAAAGAGAGTGCCCTCGGGATTAGTGACAGCGGGCGATTTGTAAACGTATTTCATACTTCGCTTAAGTAAAGAGTCGGCCATTCTCCATGGCCCTTTTGCCACTACCCATCTGCCAATTTTTGAATTCATCCAACTCAGTCCTCCCACTGGACGCCCCAGTGTGAATGCAACCTTGCTGTGACTGGCCGCCGTTATTGTGCGTGCCCTGTGTGGTCACCGGGTGGCATACCCCGCATCACCAGGTGTACGTGTGTCCCCCAGTGTAACCGGTGTCTCTGCTGGTGTCCCAGCCCGGACTGCGGCTACGCCCTGCGCGTGCCCTACCCGGACGTGCGGCCCGTCACGTGCAAATGCGGCCACCGCTTCTGCTTCGCGTGTGGCGAGGTCTGGCACGATCCAGTGCGCTGTTCGCGCATCAAGCGCTGGCTCAAGAAGTGCGACGACGACTCGGAGACGTTTAACTGGCTGTCGGCCAACACCAAGGTCGGTCGGGCCGCTCTGACCGACTTGTGTGCTTACAAGGTGTGCATAGTTTGCTGAACGAGTGCGTAGTACTTCGTATTACGTACGGGCTGATGCATTTCCATTATTTTGGCCCCCAAAAACGCGAACGCCAGCCAGTTTGTTTCTTCCCAAAGAACAGTCGTGGTCAGGCATTCTTCTTGCCTGTTTCGAGCTGGTATGGTTTGTACGATTCTCCGAAAGTGTGGTGGCGCTGAGAAACATGTACGCTTCTCCGAAAGTGTGGTAGCTCTGGAGAAACACGCGGCGCGTGGCTGTGTCCGCAGGAATGTCCCAAGTGCAGCGTGACGATCGAAAAGGACGGCGGCTGCAACCACATGGTGTGCAAGAACCAGAACTGCCGCGCCGACTTCTGCTGGGTGTGCCTGGGTCGATGGGAGCCCCACGGATCCTCCTGGTGAGTGATAGCTTCTGCTGAGTGTGCCTGGGGCTCTGAGAACCTTGCACATCCTCACGGCAATTGGTAACCTCTGGTGGATGTGCTTGGATCAAGGGTATGCGTCCGTAGTTCTGGTGAATGTGCTGGATGTGTCTGGTTGATGTGCGGGATGTGTCTGTAGGTCTGGTGGATGTGTGTGGATGCGTGTGTAGATATTGACTTTTGTACTAGCCATGGGGATGTGCCGTTGGCTGCTGCCCGGTTTGGACGAAAGTACCGTTGCGTATTACGCGAAACCCCATGAGGTGTTCCTGTGCTGGCCGAGGTGGCTTGCGGCGGTGGGATTCGAGTGTCGTCTAAAGTTGTCGTTAGCCAGCTCCTCCCATGTGTAATGAAGCCCAGAAGAACCATGTGTTACTTCGGCTCTAACCCATGGACATAAAATGTCTGCTACCATGCTATCAAGTGATATGTGCTGTCAAGTGTCAAGGTAAATTGTCATGGCAATGCTGTCAAATGCAATCAAATTGTCAATGCTGTCAAGAGGTAAACTCTTCCGGACGTGATATGGTTCTGGCAGATTTGGTGCAGATAATATCCGTGGAAGGCCTTGCCGGTTCGGTTCGCTGTGCTTGTATGAGGTATGGGTCGCATCAGGTTATTTGGGGATGGTATGGCTTCTCCGAGCCTGTGGAGAAGTCGCGGCTGTGGCGGGGGAACCTAAGGGGACAACTATTCATTTAAAGGTTGGTATTCTAACGCGAAAAAATGGAACCCACCAGAGAGGTTCTCAAACACCATAATTTCTGGAACAGTGGGAAAATTTATGTTCTGAATAACAACTTTTCAAGCTCATAAACGTGGGCTTACTTCGACTAACTGCCATAACAGTATGGCATAGTGTGCTATCGGAATGACAGTATGTGATGGTGATATCAGTCTTCCATATTGGAGACGTTGAAACTGGAGCATCGCTGAAAAGTCGCAGCATAGGGAACAAAGGGCTGGCAAAAGAAAGGTACCTTTTGAACCGCACATATTGCACCCTCCTACGCAACATAACTTTCCACGTACGCAGTACGTGTGTTACGACATGCATAGGAAGATGCCGTGAGTACGCAGGCGCGAATGTGCTGTGTGCTGCTCACCATCACCTATGAAGGAAGTGTCTTTCTGTGGATCTTACTGCTTCATCTTGGAGCATTAGCTATGTGTGAACGCCCCCGTTGTCCTGTTGTTTGCAGGTACAGCTGTAACCGTTACGATGAGGACGAGGCGAAGGCTGCACGCGACGCCCAGGAGCGCTCTCGTGCCGCGCTCAACCGCTACCTGTTCTACTTCAACCGCTACATGAACCATATGCAGTCGCTCAAGTTTGAGAATAAGCTGTACGCCTCAGTCAAGGAGAAGATGGAGGAGATGCAGCAGCACAACATGAGCTGGATCGAGGTGAGCCTGGACTCGGCTGCCTTTAGCATCAGGGGTTACTCCGTCACAGTCATATGAGGTAGCAAACATAAAATCTAGTGTGTTTTGTAGAATACATGAAAGATCAGTGGAATTTGATCGTGCCCAACGTGGTAAATGCCAGTTGGTAAATTTTAGGTCTGGGATCGTTTGTGAATTCGCCTGAGTTTCCTTCTCAACGCTACATCCATGGTTGTAAAAAATTCGCTGTTGACACTACTGCCAGTTTATCTTGCATTGAAGCCCAATGCACCAATGCATGTGCATCGCCGCGTAGCTCTCATACTCCGCCTGTAATTCACGCTGGTTCCAGGCTGCGCCGGTGGTTCGCTGGTGCCAAGTCGCAACCGTCAATGCGCGTAGCCTCCCGATGAGCCGCCCCTGGGCTGCGGGCTCCTCGCGCGGGCCGGATGGCTGACAGCGCCGCACACGTTCCTGTTGCAGGTCCAGTTTCTGAAGAAGGCCGTGGACATCCTCTGTTCCTGCCGGCAAACGCTCATGTACACCTATGTGTTCGCGTACTACCTGCGCAAGAATAACCAGTCTGTGATATTTGAGGTACGGTTGCGGCGTTGTTGGCGCTGAATAGGCCGAGGTTTGAAAGGTGTGATTAGCTGGCCAATCCAAGTGGAGTTGGCCTGTGAACATTGTCTGAATTTATATACGCTCCAGCTAGCAAAATTTCTTAATCCAAAATGTGTCTGTTCAATACCAACTAATGCCGAATAACTGAAATGTTAACATTTTGCGTTCTTCGCGCGGAAGCTATGGCCCCATCCACTGGCATGATGGAAATATCATCAGCACGCCCTGACCTCTCGTAGGGACCATACTAATCCCTGAGTTGTTGGATAAAATATCAGGACTATCACAGAGTAGACAACTCATGACCAAAAGGGAGCTGCCGATAGATCAGTAGAGTGTATCTCTATGAAGTATACATTTTAACGCAAAACTATGTATTGGCAGCCTGACACCTGTGAGGAAGCCAGACATTCCTTGTGTTTTGGCTTTCACAATTCTAATTCCGATAGAATTTTTTATTTGATGATTGAAAAGCCCATATGAAACATCCTTTTCTCCAGTGTGTAGCTCATGCAAAAATACGTTATGCATCTATACAGAAGTGAATTTTCCGTTGCACTCCTGTAGGTCACATGCATTTAAGGTGCAATTGATTAAATGGACATGGAATTCAAGATGGTCTCATGCATTTGTATGGCAGACAATATCACCCCAGGCTGCTTCAGTCTTGCCGAAATGTTTTGCTGTTTTGTTTTGCCCCAGTAATGCTAGGAGAATGTTGTTTGGCTCCCTTGGGACAAAACTAACTCTAGATCAGATTCTCGGCTCCTTGGCTGCCCCCTGAATTTCTGAGTGTGGCTGCACTCACGGCAGTTAGCCGGACTGAAACTTGGGAATCGTCTTATCTTTTGCTTTCGTTCGTAGGCATTTTTGTGTATGTGTGTGAACGTGCCAAGTCAAGAAGCCGCAAGATTCGTGGTGACGCGCCGATATTTGAAGGTGTGTGAGGGGTAGCCATAGCGTTCAGCGCAATGGCAGCTTACTGCGTGTGAAGACGGCACAGTGCCTTGTCATGTGGCGCTGTCGGTGGGTGGGAACTGACGTAAGTCTGGTCGGTCGCAGGACAACCAGAAAGATCTGGAGCGCTGTACGGAGATGTTGTCCGAGTACCTCGAGCGAGACATCACTCAGGAGAACCTGGTTGACATTAAGCAGAAGGTGCAGGACAAGTACAGGTCAGTGGCGACACCTCTAGCCGGCGCGGTGCAACTTCAACCTCCAGAGGGCACCAGTAGGGTGTACACGTTCATATGGCGCCGTGGTTTGGGCCTGGAGCAATGTTAGCGGCAAGCAGAGGTCAGCAATGTCAGCATGCTGTTGCGAAAATACGGAGGACGTAGTGAGCAGTATATGGGTTTGAAATTAATGCAGCACCGTGGAGCCAATGGTGTAAAAACGTGTGTTGGCTGGAAAGCTACCGGCGAACTCCTGCCAACCATGAGGCCGCATATGTGAAGGGAATATCTTCGAATAGAGTTATAATTGATGCGGACCAGTGGGCAGATCATCTTACACAGATTTCATTCATCTTCTCACCTTTTTTGTAAATATATATGACAATGTTGGGGATGATTGCTGAATATGTTCAGGTTGTGTTCGCGGAAGAAGTCCGCTCCGTTACATTAAGGATGACCCAGCAAACGGTCAGAAGTACACAGCGGGTAAGTTAGTGCTGGACGACAGGCTCTTAAGGTATTATGTCATTCAGACAATTTTAATGCGGTTTCAGCTCACGCAGAGCGTTTCCATTTTTGGTTGGCAATCCGGCCCCAGTTCAGGATTTTCGCTCACATTACTGTCCTGGTGCCATAGGCATGTATGTCAGGCCGTCACTGTTCGCTGATGCAGTGCCCGACCGACCTCGCCGCCTCCCCAGGTACTGCGACAGTCGGCGGAAGGTGCTGCTGGAGCACGTGCACGAGGGCTACGAGCGGGACTGGTGGCTGTACAGTGAGTAGGCGGGCGGGTCGTGTCGGCCCGTGAGGCGGCGCCCCGGCCCGGGTCGGGTCGGCGCTCGCGGCCGCCGCGCTCTGGTGACCGGCAGGCGTGTGGCGACTCGTCGAGGTGGCCCGCTGAAGCATTGTGATTGGTCGGTGGACAACGTTGCCGTCCCGCTGTGATTGGCCGATCGCACGGAGTTGACTGAGATTGGCCAGACCGGGATGGGCCGCACGGGTGCGTGCGTCGTACGATGTATTGTAAGGAGTCGGCTAGTCAGTCGTGTATCCTGCTAGTTATCGCTTTTGGGTTATCTGCTATCTACTTCGTATTTTGGTGTCGCGGAAATTTATAGTACCGGTATATTGACTTTGTCCGGGAGATGATCGCAACACAAAGCTTCATCACATACAGCTATGCAAAGCGGCCGTTGTTTGTCGCGGTACTCGACCAGGTATTTCGTTCGCGGTGTAGCGCGTAGAGTCTGAAGACCGGCGGTAGGTGCGGACTTGCGGTACGTCCGCGGGCCGGCAGGGAGTGGTGCCTCGCGGACCACCCGTGGAGCGGGCGCCGGCTTCCATCCGGACGCCCGTCCCGAGTCCAGGACTCCCGCCCGGAGTCCGGGCCCGCGTCATCGTGGCCTGTGATCGCCGGCAGCTCGCGAAACCATGGTATTCTGTGTTTGGTTGTATAAATTGTATGCCAGTAAATGTTACCTCACCCTGCTTATTTTAGGCTAGGAGCCGCATTGCCGTGCGATATTGGTCTGCTGGAGGAATATAGCGAGGAGAGTGCAGCCGCGTGTTTTCGTATGTGAGAGCTAGCTGACCCCCGGGCTGACTATCCCGGCTGCGCGGGGGTCGCGTGAGGCTCGGGACGTCTGGCACGTGATCGCTCCGCGTGCGCCGCCTGGCGCCGCAGCAGGAGCCGCCGGCGTCGCGTCCGCAAATTACAGACGAGTGGGGTAAAGTGTCGGAGAGCACGTTGTCGCCGCGGCAGCGTGTCGGCGTGCAGGGGCTCGTGAACGATCGTGACCAACTGGCGGCGCAACCATCTGACTCAGTGGAGAAAATGTGCGAAATACTGCGGCTAGACGATCCTGCCTTGATGGTGGCCGATGTAGTTGCGGTTGTTTGTTCACAGCATCGGAACGGGATAAGATAAGGTAGGGACCGTCGGCTGACCAGAGGGTTTGGTATCTTTTGCCGTATGTCTCACCCAGCGCCACTTGTCCTATCACGAATATTTGCCACCTATAATTCGACTCTTTCCAGCGGGTGCCAGCTTGTCGGCTTTTGGACGGCCACCGCCTGGGGCGGGAGTGCTACTGTGACGCACGCTTCTCACACCTTCATTGACACGAGGGCGCCAGAAGCTATCATTCGGACTGTCGTCAAGGCCCGATAGTTCGGATCAGTATCAGCGTAAGGCTGCAGCGAGGAACCGTGCGCCTCCTACTTCGTTTTTTATGAACGTCCCGCCGTATCTGGAGCTGTGGAATGTGGTGTCCTGCATCACTCCATGGATGGCAGGCCAGTCGCGCACTCAAGTGATGGACCACTTCATTCGCGCTGGCCTAAGCCTATCGGAACAACCGAAGCGGCCGAAGCGTCGTCTCTCGCAACGCACGGCAATTGTAGCATGCGTCGATGCCGTGACCGAGACCGGATGAGCCGAGCACGCGGGCCAGTCAGCGACGGCACGCAACAGCCCTTGGGTTCTGTTGTGGCTGCCTGTCTTACGTGGCCGCCCTTGATCTTCACCGGTCACGAGGTGGACGAGCGAGTCGCGCGGCGAGTCGGGTCACGTGCCGGACCTGAGACGCCGGCCTGAACGGGCTTGGGCTGCGGTCGGCCAACGTGCGTAGATGAGCTGAAATGTCCTTGTTCCAGGCGCAGTTCGCAGTACAATTCAAATTGCTTGCCCCTGTGCGCCTTTCCTCCTCGGTGACAGGGTATTCTGGAGCACCCCGCGCTTGTTACCCCCACCCCACTCCCACTGCTTGCACTGCATCACCCAGCATTGCATCTGCACTATGCAGCGGTGGCGGCGCGCCCGTTGGTCTGCGCCGCTGACCTTCGGAGGATGTGGACCGTTCTCCACACGTGCTGCCTCCCTGGCGTCCGGGCCCCGCGCGGGGGCGGGGGGGGGGGGGGGGCGCCCCCGGCGCGGGCGGCGGCGCCGTGTCGCGTGCGGCCGGCCACGTCAGGCGCGGGCGGCTCCGGTCGGCGGCGGACGCTGCACCGGCCACAGCCGACTGCGCCCCACACGAGGCCTTGACGGGGATTGCAGAGTCGCTCCGTTGCATTTTGTTTGTGCGGGCTGGCAGCAGCCGGCGGGTTGACAGAGGGGCCTGGCGTGCCCGTACCTGGGTGGCTTGCACTGCGCACTAGCAGGAAACTCCCGGCTCGCCACTAGCACTGCGGAGCTGGCAATGTTACTGGCCCCTGACGGCGCAGCAGAAGGCGTGATAGACAGTCGTGCTTAAAAATGTAATGCATTAAATACCTCGCCATGTCGGACTGAAACATACCCCAGTTTTCATATACTCCTTGATTGATAATGTGTTTTGCTTCCGTCTGTATTAAAGTGCGTGGCGTCGTATTCTGCCGGACCGCACAATGCTCATTGAACTCTCGCATGAGCACTGGACATTTTCCTGTCCTATTTTGCACGACAACAATGGGTCGTTTCATGCGCTGTGTGACGCATGCGCAATGTATGCTAGGGCGAATCCCACGACGGACAACGGAGGGCGTCGAGCCTGCAGCCTGCGTGTGGATCCCGCGTGCCCTCCCCCCCTCCCCCAAACATGCCTGGGTGGCTTTAGAATGTGTTTGCTTTTACACTGACGTGGATGCATGATCCCGTTGCTTACCTTCCGAAAATTTATTAGTGTTTGAGTGGAGCCTAGTGCGAACGCGATCTAGTCAACGGAAGGGCTGAAAATACCAAGAATTCACTTACGCGGCACGGAAGATATCGCCTTATGGCCCATTTAGCCAACGGGGAGCCTGGGGAGTAACGTTCTTTCTGGGATGTTCGATACAATTTTGCGAAACCAAACATATCGAGTGTTACCCAGAAACCGGTTACGCGCCAGGTCAGCTATCCATAAGCAGCGTGCTTGACTTTGACAACTAGCTAGTGGTAACCGTACCATGTATATTATATTCAGTGAAGAGCCAAGCAGTGGCGAACAATCCCCCCCCCCCCCCATCTCACAGGGGCAACAACAACGGAAACGTTTTGCCATTGCCACAGACCATCATGCACATGGGCGAAAATAATATTTTTAAAAAAATTAAAGGAAAGCAACGGCAAAAATCCGACAAATGCGGCAAAAGCCGTATGCACAGCCAGCTACTGATCGTGTTGCAATGTGGTTTTCCGGTTGTTAGACAGCCACATTTTCCCTTGTAACTTCATGTTTTCAGCAACTATCCTGAGTTTGAAACTGGAGACCTGGAGGGGAAGAATATCGTCACTGATGACAGTAACGTAAAAATTGGATGTGTACGGTGTTGAAGTGCGTGGCACACCCTATCACTGCGGTCCGGGTCACTGCAGATCCGGTCTCTGCAAGTCTGGTCACTGTAGGTCCCGGTCACTCTAGCCAGAGCAGTGTAACACCGGCCCTTTGCAGTCCCAGCCTGCTCCGCCTCGCTCCGGCCAGTGCGATCCCAGACACGATGTGCGGCTCCTGGTCGAGGGTCGAGGCGATCGCCGTTCGTGTGGCCTCCGGTCGAGGCGATCGCTGTCCGTGCAGCCCCCGGTCGAGACGACTGCTGTCCGCGCGGCCCCCGGTCGAGACGACTGCCGTCCGTGCGGCTCGCGGTCGCGACGATTGCCGTCCGTGCGGCCCCCGGTCGAGACGATTGCTGTCCGTGCGGCTCCCGGTCGAGACAATTGCCGCCCGTGCGGCCCCCGGTCGAGACGATTGCTGTCCGTGCGGCTCCCGGTCGGGACGATTGCTGTCCGTGCGGCTCCCGGTCGAGACGATTGTCGTTCGTACGGCCCCCGGCCGCTGCAGTGCAGTGGAGGGCCGGCGATCGCGTTGTCCGGCGGCCCACTCAGCGCGGCCGCAGCTCCAGCTGGAACGGACGGCAGTTGCGCGACAGCCCCATCCAGGCGTCCTCGCCGGGCGGCGGCGCACCGTCGGGCGGCGCCAGCTCGAACCGCTGCAGCAGGCGCGTCACGCTCAGGAAGTTGTAGAGCTCGGCCAGCCGGCGGCCGGTGCAAACTCGCGGTCCAATGCCGTACGGCACCAGGTCGGCGTTCGGCACGAAAGCGCCGTCGCGCAGGAAGCGCTCCGGCCGGAAGCGCTCCGGCTCTTGCCAGAGCGCGTCGCTCCAGTGGCTGGCCAAGATGCCGTAGCGCAGCACGGTGTCGGCCGGCACGCGATAGCCCTCCACGCTGAACGCGCCCGTGGCGCGGTGCGGCACGCCGGCCGGCGTCAGCGACGAGCGTCGGAACACCTCGGCTAGGAAGGCGCGCGTACGCGGTAGACGTTCGCGGTCGGCGGCCGTGGCCGGCCGGCCGAGCGCTTTCAGCTCGCGACGCACCAGCGCCTGCTGCTCGGGCTCGCGCAGCAGGTACAGCAGCGCCCACTCGTTGAACGAGCTGGTCGTCTCGCAGCCGGCGTTCAGGAAGTCGAAGAAGAACATGACGAGGTCCTCGTCGGTGGCCGGGTCCCAGTCGGCGCCGCGCTCGGCGCGAAGTCGGCTGACGAGCGTGCCCTCGCGGCCTTCTCCACCGGACGTCACCGCCGCCGCGAACAGGCGGCGCACCTCGTCGCGGAAGCGCAGCACGTCCGCAAAGCCGCTCCGCTCGGGGAAGAGAGCGCGCAGCAGCCGGTTGTCGACCCAGCTGTTCTGGAAGGCGGCCATCTCGGCCTGGAAGAGCGCGGTGATGCGCTCGGCCTGGCCGGCCAGGAAGCGCTGGCCAGTGACGATGCGCCAGCTGAGGCTGACGTACGGCCTGCGGAAGAGCGTCTGCACGTCCAGCGGGCCAGGTAGGTCACGCAGCCGCTCCTCCAGAGCCTCCAGCTCGTCACAGATCATGCGCTCAGCCTCGCCGCTTTCCAGCATGTGGTCCAGCGCCGCCAGCAGGAAGCCAGAGTTCCTCGCCCAGCGCTCGCCCTCGGCCACCACCACGCCGCGCTTGCGGCCGAAGGAGAGCGCCATCTGGGAGGAGCCGGCGGCGCGCCCGTTGGCCTCCGGCTGCGCCATAGCGCGCCGTGTCTCCTCCAGCCCTTCCACGTACACGTTGTACGTGCTGCCGGCGAAGAAGCCCACGACACGGCTGCCGAAACGCTGCGGCAGCGCCAGCAGCACGGCGAACAAGTCGTCGCGGCCGCGCGCGCCCAGAAAGGCCAGCGTCCCGACGAGCGGCACCGGCGCCGGGCCCGGCGGGCCGCCGACCGGCCGTCGCGGCCAGAGCGCCGCCAGCGCCAGCACCCCCAGCACGCCCAGCACCAGCAGCGCCGCCATAGCGTCCGCTCGGCGGGGCGCACGAGAAGCAACTGGCGGCGGCTGCCGACCGGCCGTCGCGTCCGGGACGCCCGGCCAGCACTCGACCAGAGTACACCTTTCGCCGCGCCGCACTCAGCCGGATTACCCAGCGGCCCGCTCGACGCGCCGGCTCAGGGGAGCGGCGGTGACGACGGGCTGGCGGCAGGAGCTGAACGCACTGGCCGGGGCCGTTCGGTGCTGGAGTGTCGTGAAGGCCAGATCTCGTCTGCGATGCATTACGTGCAGTCATGTGCAGGCCTTAGGGATCTTAACAAAAACTGACACTAGGCTATTCTGTCGTATCGTAAAGCTTTGAAGTGGCCTGGTGGTGAGTGAGGATAAGGGCTGATTTTATGACTTAGGGTGTTCTGGGATAAGTGGTGTTGCGTACTACCCGTAGCATTTTTAGAACTACAAGGCACCCGCCGTTTGACTCCGCTGGCGTCAGCTTCTGTGAAGACTGCGATTGCTGAAAAGCCACGTATGCACATAACATTTGCGAGGCGGCAGCGCGGCCGGTGTGGGCGCTGCAGGTACATATTTGGGCCCGGCCGTCAGCGGGCCCAGCCCAGCGGGCGGGTCAGTGGGCCCGGCCCGGCCGCCAGCGTCTTCCATGGGAGCCGTCATGGCCGTGCACAGGGCCAAGTCGGACGCGTGACTCAGCGCGAACCATGACTGGCTGACACTGCAGCTAGCGGAAAGGTGGAGGTCTGATTCCCGGCCTGGGCTCACTGCATGATCTGGGTGTTACGGTGTGCATTCCCAGGAATGGCTGAGAGCCCTAAGGGCAATTGATGTGGCTTGATATCATCCTTTCCACACATCAGTGAGGGCCTTATGTTTAAATATAAAATTAATGCGGACTCGACCCCTCGAAAGGCATGCAAGGCGAAGTGCATACCTCTGTAAGGATGTGTCATGAGTGGATGTATGTTGCTGTGCAGGCGTGTGAGGGGTTGCCGGATCTCACCTGTGTATCCTGTGTATCGCCCGTCACCTCACCTGTGTATTCCGTGTACCGTTCGTCACCTCGCCTGTGTATCCTGTGTGTCGCCCGTCACCTCACCTGTGTATTTGGCGTATCGCCCGTCGCCTCACCTGTGTATTCTGTGTATCGCCCGTCGCCTCACCTGTGCATTCTGAGTATCGCCTGTCGCCTCACCCGTGCCGGATCTCGATAGTACACGCCCTCGCACATGAACGACAGCGATGTCGCGCAGGAGGCTGCTGGTGAGCTGGATTGAATCTGATGGCACGCACTGCCGCACGCGCTCGTCGCGGATGACCAAAGCCCCGAGGTTTGTCAACAACTCATGTCATCCATAACCGACATGTAGGAGTTTTTGCTAATACGGCATTAAGATGAGGCGTCATGGCGGGCGATTCGCTCACAACTTACGGCTGCTGTAAGAGATCAGTCACCTGTCTCGTATAAGTGTCATTGCCACGCAAATCCGCCGGCGGGACGCGTATGTGTTTCAGCAAAGAACATTGCTGGCGATGACTAGCAAAAACTTTGATAACCCATCTGGTACTTATGCCAGGCTTAGCGCCACTCAAACAGTTCAGCGCAAGTGATCGGTCGCACACCCAGTCACCTCTTCCTGTTGCAGAAGTCTGACCCCGAGACGCCACGCCACCCCCCCCCCCCCCCTCCCCCTTCCGCCGCCCCGTAAGATAGGGCCGGGACGCGATGGACTTCGGACACCGTGTGTCCGGGGCTGGGACGTGTGTCCTGGAACTGTGAGGAATCATATGCCTAGTTGCCTGCGTGGTCCGACATACTTCCCTTGCATGATCATGTCTGTTGGCTCTGCCGTTACTCCCGCCCGAAGGTCGCCGGATCTGGCTGATAGGCTGATAAGTCGGCTGATGGCTGGCTGCTGCCTCGGTCCACGCTTCCCACAGGTCGTGGGCAGCTCTGACATCGGCAAACAGATAGAGCGCAACACCTGAGGGCTGACGGCACCACCTGGGACTAACGGTACCGCCTGGGGACTGACCACTCCGCCCGGGGACTGACCACACCGCCTGGGCACTGACCACACCACGTGGGTACTGACCGATCCACCCGGGGACTGACCACACCGCCTGCGGACTGACCACACCACCTGGGGACTGACCGCTCCACCTGGGGACCAACCACACCACCTGGGGACTAACGGTGCCATCTGGGGACTGACCACACCACCTGGGGACTGGCCGTACCACTTGGGGACTAACCACACCACCTGGGGACTAACGGTGCCATCTGGGGACTGACCACACCACCTGGGGACTGGCCGTACCACTTGGGGACTAACCACACCACCTGGGGACTAACGGTACCACCTGGGGACTGACCACACCACCTGGGGACTGACGGCAACACCTGGGGACTGACCGTACCACCTAGGGGCTGATTATGCTACCATTTCCTGCAAACTAACATTTTACGGCTGATGGAGTTTTTGGGGACCTTTTAGCTGTCGCAAGGTCACCATCTTCTTGAAAAGAAAGGGCATCAATTGGGAAAGGTTTGGTGTCAACCAGTGTCATAGGCTCGGAGCGTAGGGTTGTCTGCAAACTAGTACCAGATGGTTCTGGGCACTCTTAGTTATTTTTGACCTGATCCAAAGTTATCATGTTTTGGAAAGCATAGAATATCCACTATGGTGCACAGATTTGTACAAGTTTCGTGCTGATCAATTATATAGGCCTAGAGCATGAGATTGTCTGCAGTCAATTTTGGAGGCGTTGGGCGTCTTTTGGTGACCTTTGACCTCACCCAAAGCGACCATGTTCTGGAATGGCTAGAATATAGATTATAGCACATGACTGGTGAGGGTTTTGAGCCGATGCGTCTTATAGACTCGGAGAATGATGTCTGAAAACTAATTTCAGGTGTTTTTGGGCGTTTTTGTAGAGCTTTGACTTGACTCAAAGCCACGATAGTGTAGAAAGTGCAGGTTATCGGCTATTGCGTATCGATTTGTGCGGGTTTTTCGAGTTACAATGGCATAGAATATGGTAATCTAGAATTCTGTACCACGTAATATCCTGTGGTTCCTGGCTCAGGTTTGGCAAACTTAAGTTCAGAGCCAGCAATATTGTGTTTGCTGCTTATAAATGACCAAAGCAAACTTTTTTTGTTAATCTCGCTAAAAGCTCTAAAACTGATGCTGTTCGCTGTCCATTTCAACACTCCAAAATGGTCTGTTCATTTATCTGGGGCGTGATGTGTTTCATGTTATAACAATTTTCATTTCAGACATGTGGCTCCCTGACACAGCATCGCCAGAAATGATCGGCTCACGACGACGCTCATGAAATTTACGAAGAATGTGATTCAAACTCATGACTAAAAACGACATTTTTCTTAATGAGCCGACCCAGCTCAGGACTCATCCTAAAACAGCTGACTCATGAGCTAATTCATGACAGCTCGAGTCAAACTCAAGCCTAGCAGAATTGAGATCAAAGTTCTGGTGAAGCTTCTCAGTTCTATTGGTTTAGGAAATGTCTAATGAGCCATTGTTTACTGAGGAGGGCTGGCGATTTATTTCATGCAGGCGTTAAATGCCTGGTTCTCCGTTTGATTGCGTTCGGAAGTCATGAGAATTCTTATCGCGATAACCTCGGGCTTATGTTCCAGTTACATTAGCAAAAAACTAGCCGTAAGAAATAAGACCGTCGCCATCATTAATAAATGGGCCATATCCGGCGATTTTTTTTTTGCGGGAAGCTTTCATCATCAGGGGCTTTTTGTTAACCGTGTGTCCCCCTCTTACCAAGACTCTGGCTGCGCCCCCTGCCGGCTGTGCAGGTGTCGGTTCTGTAGTCACAGCCACGTTTACCTCTTGAAACTTGCCCAGAGTTACCGTTAGCCCCCTCCCCCCCCCGCCCCGGAGGCAGAGTTCGCTGACCCTGAAATCGAGTGTTACACATATGAGTCTATTTGACCGGCGGTTTTAGCAGCGCGCCGCAGGAAATTGGCCTGGTGCAGGCATGCATGAGCCTTTTGAGAAAGTGCGGTGTTAGCCTAGGGATGGAGGCAAGAGAAAACCACCGGACTGTGCCCCCCCCCCCCCCCCATGAGGAAAATTCTGGTTGCATATCCGTGTAAGCTATGGGCCGTTCAGACGGCTGCAGCTTCAGCGGTGGGGACGCCGTCAACGGCGGTGTTGACCGTGCACGGCCGGAGGTCAGCCGTGGCAGTGCGTTGACCCGCGGCGTCCGCCTGAGGCCGGCGTAACATCACCCGATCGCGACGCTCCGGTGCGGCCCGGCCGCTCTGGGAAAGGCCGCTAGTCTGCCTCCTGTGGGAAACCCTGCCCCGCGGCCCCAGTCACCGGTCTGTCTCTTGTGTCAACCCCGGGCCCAGCCACCGGCCTGTCTCCTGTGTCAACCCCGGCCCCAGTCACCGGTCTGTCGTCTGTGTCAACCCCGGCCCCGGCCATCTGTCTGTCTCCTGTGTCAACCCCGGCCCCAGCCACCGGTCTGTCGCCTGTGTCAACCCCGGCCCCACCCACCAGCCTGCCTCCTGTGGCAACCCCGTCCCCAGCCATCTGTCTGTCTCCTGTGTCAACCCCGTCCCCAGCCACCAGCCTGTCTCCTGTACTAACCCCGGCCCCAGTCAACGGTCTGTTTCCTGTGTCAGCCACCGTCACACGGCTCCAGCCACCCAGGCGGCAAACCAAAACGACCGTCTCAGGCGCCGGCGGCACCGGCAATGCCATGTCTGGTTTGTTGTTTCTCGTGACTAAACGGTGGGATGGCAGCCAACCGCAACAACGGCTGCTTTTCATTGGCGAAGACTGGGGTGCGAGTCATCGCCTGAGCAAGCCCGGTCTTGTGCAAACTTCCACTCCGGTGTTATCGATTCCGACTGCGAATCACAACA